TATGGCAGTTGCTACGGAAGAGTAGCTCACTAGCTGAAGCTGAAATGAATTGAAAGGGTGGAAGGGACAAGTGTCTGACACCACCTATTAACAGCTGCATAATCCAATGCAAGTCATTAAACATCTCTGGCTTTTCTTTGCTCATTTATTAATGAATAGACTGATCAAGATCTGCAATGGTCAACTTTTCTTTTAAAAACAAACAAAACCCCACAAACGAATAGTTTTACAACAAATAAAAACCCAATTCCTCAGACTACAGGGCAGTTTGGCCTCTCTCTTACCCCTGACCTTCAAAATGTCCTAATAATTGACTGAAAACCCGTGGACTACAGAATTGCACGCAGTCTCTATAGCCCTAAAATCCTATAATCCTAGTTTACTGTAAACATTCATATTGAGTATCCATCAATCTTACTGGTCATTACTTTTTTAATTCCAAATCATAGTCTCAAAATGTACAGCAATGTTTAGACAATTTTTCGGGGTGGCCCTCATTCCTTCATTATCATCTTTAAGCTTCCTGTTATTATATTTAAACCCTAAAATATTTATAACAAATACTTAACACTTTCTAATCTAATTAATTGTTCTTCACTAGGGGATGAAACTATCTTACTTCCCATCCCGTAATTCTAAACTCACCATTATGACAACTGACAAACATGAAAAAATGGACAACATAAAGTAAGTTCAAAACTGGCCTAACACTTGAATGACTAAGCTGCTAAACAGACATCTTTCCCTAAAAACAACTTTCAGATTATACTGTCACAAATGAAAAGCAGGAAGAAATTATGAAAACAAAAACAGTTTTTAAAGCAATACATCATTTACCTCATTGGCACCACTGAACAGAGGTTCTCCAGTGTGCATTTCAACCAAAATACACCCGAGGGACCACATGTCGATGGCAAGGTCATAAGGCATTCCCAGTAGCACCTCTGGAGACCGATAAAAGCGACTCTGAATATACTGGTATATCTGAAATGTATTTCAAAATAGTATTAATTGAATATAAATTTTGCTTATAATTTTGGTCAACACAGGATTAAGAACATTGATGTGATACTAACAGAAAAAAAAGAATTGGCTAATTCCTGGATTAGGATTCCATTTACTCATTTTGACATTAGACTGAATACTAATTAAAGAACTAAACATTTCAAGGGATTGGTTAATCTGACTGTGAAATACATAATATGTAAAAATTCAAGCCCTTTCATTTAGTCTAGTCTTGACTGGTAATCAAGATATATCTTAAAACAATTGCAGCCTGCTGGAATGGCCACTCACAAGCAGCAACCCTTTATGAGCAATAAAGCTCTCCTTTCCTCAGTTCACTGAAAATGACACCTGGTGGCAGCATTGCCAAAATGCAAGGGCAGAATAACTGGAACAAAAATAACACCTCTTAAACGTTAAAAATG